GAGACTGTACAATACACATAAACACATACTGAAACTCTTTGGCCTCCTTCCCTTGAAGCCTCCTGCAGTGATGTTGGACAAGCTGGGGTAGATGAGAGCCAGATGCTCTAGAGGACAGGAGCTGAACGCACAAATCACAGGAGCAGACCGCTCGCAAACAGTCTCACACATTCACTCGCTGTTACTGCAGAACAGGCAGGCAGATTAAAACTCCCTTCACACTGTGTCTCCTGCCGACCCTCCTTTTCTATTCTCTCCATTCCTTTCGTCTTCCTAATTCGGCGCCTAACGCTATGTCAAACTGACCTGTCCTTAAACTACAAATAGACAACATGACCACAAATACACTGCTGAAGAATTTGTTCCAAAATTTATATAATTTGTCTAATTTCTCAAAATGATTTGAGGATGTGTGTTTAGCTTATAGAAATTAATTATGAAATTTCTTGTAAATAGCACTGTATTCTCAGTTTCTCTTGAAGTTTAAGTGTTTTCCATTGGACCAATAACCATGAAATCTATTTGGGTAATGTAAGAGGCACTAGCTTACTCAATCACGGTAGTCTGACTTGATTAGCTTAGTCTGAAATGAGCAAGAGAGAGGGTGAAAAACTCCTAATTCAATCAATGGCAGCCATGAATGTGAATACAGCGGCAAGCTCCTAGAAATGCAAACATTTGACCCATTTCATAGATTTGTTTCCACTGGCCCATACCCCTCTTTTCTATCCAACAGTGATCCCTGTTACAATACTACCAGGATGGTGCTGCCTATTAGTACTGAAATCATATTCGGAATGATTGTCTGAATTTTGGAGCTCAGCATGTATGATTGCAGAGCCCTCTGTCTGCTCAGGTGAGGCAATTACCTTATGGGGTTTGCCTGTATGTTGCCATATTAAAAGAAAACTGAGCACTATATGAGAGAGGGAGGAGGGCAAATATTACAAGGAGGTGACACGTAAAAGGGTACAGACCGCCGCTGCAGGGCTTGTTTGGAGCCTGTTTATGAGTCATGGGCTATTAATCGTATTGTTTACAGTATTGTAGCAGCTACTGGCTCCTAGCAGCCCGAGGGAAAGACACAGAGACGAACCAGGCTCCCCTTGCAGGCTAAGGCTGCGGTAAACACACACAGGGAGAACGCACAATGTGGATGTCCGAGAAAAACCTTTCCTGAACATGTTATTACTGGTTATAACAGCACTTTCAATTTACTAGGGATTGTAAAACTTAACAACTAGGTCTAATTTATGAGGAAATGCCTTTAGACGCTGTAGTGGTGTGTGTGTGTGAGAGTAATGAACGAGGTGAAATATAGTGAAGCCCCAGTTCCTCCTGCACCCCTGTTGGTAGAGTTGATTTGTCTCTGTATTTGGGACTCCAAGTTGAAAGATTCATCTGTCACCCACAGGGATCTTCCTATGTGTCTTCCTCAATCTTCTTTCCAATGCTGGAAGACCCACCCGCACTCTTAAAACACCCAGGCACATCTCTCTCTCACACACACACACACACACACACACACACACACACACACACACACACACACACACACACACACACACACACACACACACACACACACACACACACACACACACACACACACACACACACACACACACACACACACACACTCTACTTGAACGCAAAAGCTAGCATTTGACGATGATAACTTGCATCACTTACAAAGAGAAAGTGTAACAGAACACAAATCTGGACGTTTTCTTTTCCTGTTTTACATGAGTTGCATTGTAATAGTTTTGATGAGAAATTATAGATTAGATTTGTTTAAGCCGTGAATGCCAGAACATTCTGTGCCGGTGCTCAATCTAAACACCACGACAGAGCGCCGACCTGCTATCAAGAAGCAATAATAACATCAGCTAAAGGAGCTTCATATCATCCTTCCAAAGGGCTTCCGATCAACTTTCAACTCCAAGCACTTCTTCATGACAGTCATCGAAGCTACTTTTTAGAAATATGATTCTATGGTAGGAATTCCTCTAAGCACTCAGTCGAAACAACCTCTCCACTAAAAACACACAAGACAAGGTACTTTCACTTCAACCAAGGGAGAGATTTTCGAGGGCTTTAGGACTTGTGGACTGTCTCCCCGATATTGCAGGAGCTCGAGTGTGAAATAAAAGTAAATGGGCAGACTGGAGAAGGCGACATATATCTTCGTTTCTCTGAAGGCAAGGGGACAGAGCGTGGACCGCAGCAAGCAACGCGCACACACACACCACAACAGCAGCCCTGATACAGAAAATTCTGTACTCCAGCACTTTTTCGCCACTTAATCAATGAGTCCTACAGCAGACCAGCTTTCTGCTCCTTTATATTCTGAATCCTGGTTTACATGTACACATTACACACCCATTGCATTTTAATATTTATAATGCAAGCAATTTTCTACCAGTGTGTGACCTTTCCTAAATAAGTTTACTATTATTCATTAAAGTTTAAAAGCTGTGCAATAAAAGACAGTAGCAGTAGCCTTGTAGTACTTTTTCTCTCTTGGATTATAAAGTCAGGCTGCGACTGCTGACCATACAGACAATTCTGTGTGTGATTTTTATTTATTGTCATCTAAGGTTATCATTTGAAAAGGATTTAATATGCAAATTAATCAGATAGATCTATATCTATATAAATACATTTAATTATAGAATTTCAGGGATCATCAACTCTAGAACGACCTGCCAAAGGGGGCTCGGGCAAGCAAAAAAAAGTAGAAAAACACATTATTGTAGATTTGCTTTTACTATAATTTCATAATATGCGTCTTTCTTAACTTTTGCTGCTGTATATACTTTGTCTTTAAAGGTTAATCTTACATTTTATTTCCTTTGATACCTTTTCAGATTTTGTTTATTTAAAAAGCTGTGTCATTTGTCAAATTATTACTATTACAGATATCATTTGGATCACTTGTTTGTGTCACTTGTTTAACTCCTTGACCCACAATCTCTATGTTTGTTTGTTTGTCAATTCATTTGAATGGCGATTAACCCTTAAACAACTGATTTTAAGCTTGATAAGCTATTTTTTATGTTTCTATACAATTATTCTTTATGTTTAATTCAATCTGCAAATCAACTGATCAGTGTCCCACACAGGAAGCAGTCGCTGGGCTTCAGACAATCTATTCCGCAGAGTGCCAGAGGTGGATGGCTGAGTCTGGGCAGGCTTGTGGCAGGTGGCAGGTGTTCCACAGCCCTCTGACCTCAATTCCATTTGTCCTCATGCCAAAGGAATGAATGCCAGCGAAGGGGAATGACATTTAGCCTGGGATAACCACGCTCATGAGGAAAAATACACACACACCCAAAGTGCTCCGAACGGGAAGAAGCTGTTAACTTTTCTAGAAATCGCTCCAGTTTATAACACCGACCCTGTAATGTCCATCACCTTAAGAGGCCATGGATGATCAACCTGATATGGACAGCCATCTCACTGAGCCATCTTTAATATGTTCATGGTTGAGAGACACGAATAAAACAGCTCAAGAGTGGGGCAGCAACCTGCTAGAGCCGGAAATAGCTATGGCCAAGGACAAGGCGAACTGCTGCTTCTGCACGGACCAGCCGCTTCAGGCCAGCCGCTGCTCACAACACACAGTGACGGACCAGCATAACAGTAAAAAGAAACAACAAATGAACTTCAAGGGCTATTAGCTACACTAATAAAAAAAAGTCAATGCAAGACAGATGCTTCAAAGGCCTCAAAGGTAGTCTAATATCAATTTGAGACCATACCATCTGTTGGGGAGATGGATGAAGCCTATAGGCCTGTTTCAAACTTCAATCAATGTCAAACTAAATTGAGATTCCAAAGCACATTTTATAGCAGGATAAACTATGATCAGTGAGGTAGTGGAATTAAACTTCTTTTATCTTTAATAGCTTATACTACCAAATTTAAGTGGAATCTGTGGAAGAATTTCCTCATAAAGTGGTCAATTTATTTTGATTTACAGTTCATTTGTTCATAAGAACAATTTTAAGGGGGAAGCATGACACAAGACGGCAGCAGTGTATTACATAATATGTTTAGGGGATACTGAAAAAAGACAATTAATCTGTGACTTTGATCTATAAAGTTTGCATATTTTTCTCAAAACACATATATGTAATAGTAATCTTTGACTGAAAATGTATCTTTACAACAAATACAACAATTTGTGAAAAACGCACGCTCTAAAGTGCCATCTTTTTATAAACTTTTGATGCCTCCACTGACAGTTAACTGACAGTTAATCAAACTTGTGCATTTTTTTAATGTCAATGATTGGACCTTGTCTGTCTCTTAGTTTAGACCTGTAGGTGGTGATCCCAAATCTTTCATTCCAACAGAGGATGATTAAGCAATGGATTAGTAGTAACAGATTAGTCATTCTGCCATGGCCGCTGTCCTCTGGCTGCTAAGCAGCAAAACATGAAGTCTAGTGGTTGTAGTTTTGGCTACTATTTTCAAAGGTTTGATATGGCCTGATCATAATAATGCTCTGATATTTGTCTTGTGTTACAGCTGTTTCAGCCAAGACAAATACTCAGTGTCAAAATATGTCTGTCGAATATGTTGTTCATTAATAGGGATACAAATCTAAAGGTAGCACCCATTTGATTTTGATTCAGGGTGCTAAGATTTTAACTTTTTGTTACTGTTAGACTATACTGAATTTTAATCGAGGACTTGTGTGCATCAATGCTGAAACATTCAAGAAAGAATCAGAATGCATCAAAGGCAATTTTCCCCACCACACTTATTATCTATGAATTTAGTGTGTGAACATTAGAAATATACAAGGTTTTTAAAGTAGGAATTTAGGGATTCAGCATGTCTGTATCTAACCTAGACTTTGCTAAAAGAATTAAACAGATATTTATTCAGATCCTGAGGATACAGTTTCCAGAGATTCCACTTAAACATGCCCTGGCCCCTCATAGACCCCAAACAGGTGTGACAGCTAGGACTCATAACGTGTGTCATACCTGGGGTTTCCTCGCAGGGCAGCATGATGCAAGGCATTGAACCCGTTATTGTTGGTGATGGTGACATCAGCACCAGCCTCCAGCAGCACTGACAGCATGTCATCTCTCTTCTTGCTTATGGCATCGTGCAGGGGTGTGTCCCCCTCTGAATCCTAAAAGGGAAACATTGTGTTACTACTCTCTTACTAATCGGTGATTCAATCCCTGCCTAAAATGACCTCTCTACTGCCGTATTATAACAAACATACCGCCAACCATCTAGCGCACAACAATCAATATACACCAGACTGATATTTGACAGTGCTGTTGTACATACTTGTTTTCTATTACCTTTCTTAAATGTCACAGCCTGTATAACAAAGCATTTCTCAATAGGTAAATAAGTCATAGGTAGATACCTGGAGGCTGGGGTGACAGCCAAAGTCCAGCAGGGTTTTGACCACCTGCAGGTGACCCTTGTTGACAGCTATGTGTAATGGAGTCTGCCTTCTCTTGTTCCTGGCGTTCAAGTCAGCACCGCCCCTCTGCAGCACCTCAATGACAGAGCCCTCATCACCAAAGGCTGCGTGGTGCACTGCCCGGTCTCCATCTTTGTCCTGAATACAGTGACACACCCGCACAATGACTCAGTGTTATATCTGTGAGTGGACTTCCACACCTTTTTTTCAAACTATAACATGCATTTACATGGGTTAAGATTTATTTGTGAGAATATGGATGAGAGAGAAGAATTTTTTGTAATTATACAAACCTCCGCTTCCAGGTCCACGTTGTGTTTAAGCAGCAACTTTAGGACATCCACATGACCATTCTGACTGGCTGCCTGCATAGCAGTGTGTCCAGCACACTGCCCATTCACCTGTAAACACATCAAGAGTCAAAATAGTGACAATATGGGTTAATATCGTGTTTCACGTTTAGATGTGGATCTACAGAATTAGCCGTTCACCTGAGGGTCTAGGAGATTGGTGAGGGTATGATTAAGCGTGTGTATGTGTGTACGTGCATGAACGGCTGGGTGTGCATGTTTCATCACCAACTGCAGCACTGCAAAAACTCAGAGCATAAATATTAATGTGGACTCCTTTGGGAGTCTTGAGACGTCTCTTGTCCTGGCAGGCGGATCACTTGGCCAAGCTCAGTGTGCTCAGCTTTAAGTAAATAATTCCACTGAAAGGCAGTAGGGCATCTGGCCAGCCTTCGCCACTGAGAGAGACACGCACACACACAGACACACACACACACAGACAGACACGCAAACTCATTCACTCTCTCTTGCCCTCTGAGTGAAGACAGTATTGCAGACTTGACGTACCCAGTTCTCATAACCTATACAGGGCACAGGGTTCTGTCCTGTGGCAAACGAGTGTTTTCCCTGGCCTATAACCTGTGTCAGAGCACAATCTGCAACCATATGGGGTTTGTAGATCTCTGCTTGATTCTGAATTGGGTCTGTGCTGCAGTGCACACCAATGCTCCTTGCTGCCTCCTCTGGGCCCAGCCTTAATGCTTTTCAGATTGAGAGAGATGCAGTAGTGGGAGAATTGCAGAGCTGTTTCCTATGAAACTCTCAGCCTCCTCAATATACTGAGAGGAGAGCAGGTATTCAAGCTCCAATTATCAATGTTCTCAGATATTTTGTATATAATCAATGAAAGAACTACTTGGTGTTCATCAAAAACTAGGGTAACAATACACTCAACTCACGATTCGCCAAAATTCACATTGCTGGGTTCACAATATGATTTTCTCACTATTTTTGCATTTAACAAATAACAAAATATGCAATGCATATTTCCTTTTGTGAAATTAAACTGATGTCTTTGTGCCTTGATACAACAATAAATGTTTTATATCACAGAGTTAAATCTAAATTACATTCCTTTCAATATCCATCTAGAAAGGTAGCAGCTGCTTTTAATAAAAGAATACTCCTTAAATGCTGTATGTTGAGCACTTACATCCACATCAGGTCTCTTGAGGATGTCCTCCACCTTGGCCAGGTCTCCATTGGCTGCTGCCTTGACCAGCTCCTCGTTGATGTCTCCCGACTCTTGTGTCTCAAATAGTTTCTTCAGCAGCTGAGACAGACGCTCTGGCCAAACAGAAGGGAAAAAAGTGACTGCGTGTAGATGTCAGAAAACAGGGAGCAGTGAGGACAAAGAACTAAGATGACACCCTTTTAATGTCAGTAGTGCATGTTCATACATACCTCCAGAGGCATTGCTGACAGCAGAGCCAGAGGGGGCAATCTTGGTGACAGCGGCAGGATTGTACGTCCAAGAAGTTCCACAAACCTCGACCTTTAGGTCACTGTCAGAGTAGATCTGCTGCACACGGCCCACCTTGCCTAGGGTCTGTTGATAAATGTTGCGACAAACTCATTAGTATATGGAGGGCTGTTGTCTTTGGGCTATGTTCTGTGTAACAGAGCCTGTAAGTGGCAGAGGAAAGATAGAGAGATATTGTTAGAATGAGCAAAAAATGTGGTCAGTGGAGGAAAAAGGATAAAGAGGAGACAACGCCAGCTCAACAAAGCAATTGTCCTACACAGAGCAGAAACAAAGCTTGTGGCAAAAATAAAAAACTAAAAAAATTACAAATTTGGGCTGTGTTTTCATTATTTAGAGGACATGTACTTGCAGGAGAAGAAAGATGGATATACAAGAAAGAGACCCTTTTACTGGCGAGGCTATTCTTCATCTATACAGGCAATAGAGAGAGGACAGAGCAAAATGCTTTCCAATTTTGAATCATATCATCTAGGTCCTGGCTATATGAGAAAGAGCCACTTTGAGTGTGTGTAGCCGGGTCTGGGGCTGTCCTGGAGGATGCCATCAATAACGGGGATTGCTGCAGTAGAAGCAGCAGCGGGCGGCAAACAGCCGTGGTTAGTGATCAAAGCTACAACCCATCTCAGGGTTTTAAGGCTCATTAGCTGCTGAGGGGGGCCAGTTTGGCAGGGACAAGTGGCATATTGGAGTAGACTGGCGTTACATAACCTAAGGCATGCTGGGCAGCAATGAATAAACTTCATAATAAGCGAAGAATAAAGTTGTGTTGACACTGAAAAAAGATAAATAAAAAAAATCGTCAGCAACACAGCCATTGACTGATTTGAGGGGAGGAATCGTGTCTCTGCCTGTTATAAATGGTGCAACATCTTTTAAAGAAAATGAGCGGTTGGCACTGCTGAGTGTGAGGGGAACAGAAGAAAATTACACACAGTTAGATGAATTGAGCCAAGTTTATAGAAGGTTCTTGAATGCAAATTGTGTGCCTGTGATGAAGTCCAAGTAAAAATTCAGATTTTTTAAAATCCTGAAAGTGTCTGGTGCCAATATCCACAGCACTAATTTTCTTACCAAGCATAACACAGACTCAGGTCAGGCCAGGTTTAAATTAAACTATCAAGTATAGTTTAGATTTAAAGATGTTTTGTCACCCTGAAAACTTTAAAGCTACGGTGGATAGTTTTATGTGACAATTAATAAACTACACAGAAACATACATTTTTATGAAAATCAATCATGAAATCATTAATCAGCCATTGATATTGAAACAGGGCTACTGAAACTTTTACACATTAGCATTTCATTTCAACATTTCAATTGACATTTAACTAAAGAAAGGGTAAAAGGGGGTTAAATTTGCCCAAATGAATGTGAGAATCTCTTACAGGCAGCATCGCCTCAGCCCACTCTCCATGTCCTCTTTGTAGCAGCTTGATGCGGTCGATGTCATAGCAAATCTGGACCAGGTCTCCCACTAGGAACTGGGAACTGCCTCCCTCTGCCCCAGCTGCTACTTCACCGCTGCGCACAACATTGGCCTTTGTCAGCACTGCTGGGTTGAATGTCCATCTGTGGATACAGAAATGAATGCATTCAAACAATTCAGACTAATTAAATCTCAGTTCATAACATATGATCCATGACAAAGTATAGATTCTGAGCAGTCAGATGGAAAATTTGAAGATTTGCAGGCTACGAATAAGTAATAAAAAACTGCAAAATAAAGAAAAATACTGTTTAAAAAGTGCAGTGGTGAGATTACATTTTTACTAAAAACAGACGGAAATTGAGAAGAGTCCCTTCTGTGTGTTTCCACTGAAAGGCAGTTGTGTTACAAACAATTATTTCATTACAGTGAAGATGTACTTAGAAGTGTTTGGTGGCTATTGACTGAGCTGAGGTGAAAAGGTTTATATAAAACTATGCTGATGAGACGATGAAATTTCACTGGCTCCATTCACTGGCAGCCAAGAAACCTGAACCAGTCCATCTAGGGACTCACCTGTTCCCACTGGGGTACTGAACAACAATATCGTGATCTTCATCGATGCCGCATACTGTCCCAGTGGTGGTGAGCGTCTCAAACATGCCATCAGTCCACCCACCGTGGCCATGTTGGAGGGACTGAACAATCTCTAGGTCTAAGTCAATGTTGACCAGGTCTCCAATCTGGAGCCCACCAGGATTTCTGTTGCCATTCTGCTCACCTAGGAGATGAGGGCAAAGTTATGCTATTAATAACGAAATTGCACTATCAAAAGTATTTGTTTTCCACAGCAACATTAGGAATCTGATTTTTTAATAGAAAAATAGAGACACAAATAGGAAAAGACATTTTAGAAAAACAAATTGTGCTAAATCTGTGAAAAAGATTGTACTGCAAAACTAAAAATAAATACATATGTTGTAGCAAACTGGTAACAACAAAACACAGAAGGAGCACTAATACATAGATTATAAATCAACAGTGCTGCTATCTATGAATAACTAGATTCAAGATTCATCCCAAAGGAAATTACTGAAGAAACGGTAATAGAAAACAATAAATAAGAAAAAAATAGCTAAAAGTGTGAAAAAGAGAGAGAGCAACTGTTGCTGGCCGCTGCTCGACACAGCGCCGGAACCGGAAAGATGAACCATCAAACCTAATGAGGGACTTCTGCTGCAGTGTTGAATGCAGAGAGACAATTCATTCCTGGGAGTCATGAAATGCTGTAACTGCATGACCTGAGCCTTTACCTGGTTTTGGCAGCCAGGTCACTATGTAGTGCTGCCATCTAGTGGCCAAACAGGATTAACTACAAGTGAAACTCCCCTAATGCCCTTGAATTCACTGCACCAGAACGATAGGTGAGCGAATTGGTGCAATAATGACGGTGGACACAGATCACTGGCTTACTTACCTAAAACGGGACAGTGGTCTCTGTAAAAAGAGCCTCCTTTGGCATCCTGGACACATTTCAGATCCGACTGAGAGAGAAAAGAGGGACAGGGTTAGATAATTACCTAGGGTAATTCCATTAGTAGAGGGGCATGATGATCATGAATAATAAAACTGAGAATTTTCACACTTCAAGCTGGAGTGTCAGTGTAGTTTGCCTAGAAAACCAACAATATCAGTGCCCTAAGGGGAAGGCAGGACAATGAAACACTACATTGCTATGGAGAGAAAGCATCATATCTTTTGTGATGACTCAGATGCGCAGCCACTGTGGCAGAGTTAGAGGGCAGAGATGATTGTGAGGCACAGCAAACATTCCTCTGAACTGATGGAACACTTAAGTCCTGAGTACAAGTCCCAACAAATTAATAACTCAAGTCTTTCCTACAGTATACAGCCAGCAGGGCACTTTTGATGCTTTGTGCACAAAGGAGACATTACAAAACAGGAAAAGGTGTTGGCCTCACATGCCGCATTTGGAGCATACACTAATCTGCAGTCCCTTTGTATTTGTTAGCAGGATTTGATCACTGTCTTAATAAGAAACAAAGCCAAAATAAAACTGTCAAAGATGGGGGGTCTCATCCATGACTTACTAAATCCAGAGGCAGATGCCATCTACTTTCCTATTAGCCTATTACAATAACAAAGGACAAATCTGTTACGAAACCGGGAAACCTGATTGGCCTCTTTTGTAAAAAGACAAGAGCCGTCTCCACCAATGAGAAAGAAGAGCTTTTCATCCGAGACGCGTGTGTAGATACTTTTGCAACAACCCAAGAGAATGTCCCCCTCCTCTAAAGTTGACCTCCATGTTCACTCTCTCCCCCTAAAATGCAGAAAGAACAGCTTGCCTTTATCATGCAGATACCTTCCCCTTCCAGCTGCCTGTACAATGGCGCCTTACTCATGCTGGCTGCGTGGCTCTCACAAAGGCCTGGCAGCAAAAGAAAGAGCCTCAGCCCTGCGGTCAAACACAAAAGCCACCTGACAGCTGATCTTTTGTGAGACTCTGTGTGTGTGTTTGTGTGTGTGTGTTTGTGTGTGTGTGTGTGTGTGCGTAAGGGTCAGGGTGGAAGTTTGCTCACCATTCCCTCAAAGCCAACTCTGTACAGGTTCTTGGCCCCATTGTCCCACAGTACGTAGGCAGCACTGTGAGGGCTGGCTGCGCTCCAGTCCTGGATCTCTGTCACCTGTGGATGAGGAGGAGGATTGAGATGAGAAAGACAGAAAAGTACACATTGGAAGCAGATTGTTTTGTGTTTTTCTCAGAATCCCATGACAACTTTCAGTGTGAAAAAGGTTTTGACCGGCTGTATGTTAAAATATAATACTGACCAGAAGGGGATTGTATTCTTACTGGGAGGTTTCAAGCAGGTGTTTTTCATCTTAAAACCTCATGATGACAATACATATGATACTTTATTGATCCCTGTAGAGAAATTATCTTTTCAAATTGAAGGTCAGAGTCAAGGTTGAACTACTGAACAGAAATCCTAGAGCCAAGTAAGTATTCAGTGTCTAGCTCAGGAGATGTCTGTTGAACTTGAGCTCCTTTAGTCAAAGGGTTCAGTATCTTCTGGCCATATCCAGGGTACCAATTTGTCAGACTTACAGTTTTAGTTTTATGTACCACTTTTTTCCAACACTGTGAAAAATTGTTAATGTAACCAAGGAAAGCATGAGTCCTTGGCAAGCTGAAGTAGCAAATCTATACATGGTAGTATCAGAAGCTCTGTACATTGCACATTCACTGTGTTTGGACTTCAAGGAAAATGTAATTCCCCAGCTACTATAAATATAAATATTCTCATCAAGAAACAAATTTGATTAGACTTTGATTCTTAGAATCGCAATTAGATTTTATTTTAATTCTCCCTGCATTGCAATTTCATGGTCAATACTAAACGTTTTATTCTTTTATGTTATTTCACCAGTTGGAACTAGTTGTGAAATCTCCAAGAATGTTTTAATTAAACCTTTTGCAACCATTACTGTGTTAGTTTGCAAAGAAAAAAAGACAAATTCAAGCCTAGTACTACAGGTTTCAGAGAGCCTTCTCCCCTATTAAAAAGGGAATTAGAATTAGAAGTATATAATGGAAATCAGAGTCTGGGTATCCAAATATGGCTAGCTGGATCTTCTTTGATAAATGCAGGACAGTTACACGCTTCAATATCTGTGTATGTTTCCATCAATTAGCCTTATTGGAACATACTCAAGGGCTGGATCCAAAGTATAGTTGTGGTTATATAGTATCCCTAGGTCAGCCAGAAAATCATTTTCTCTTCATCGTCACACCAATTTAGTGGATATATCCAACATATATTTGGAATACACAGATGGTCAGTCCATGTTTTTTGGCCGCAGCAGTTCCGCTGTTTTACAGAACTTGGAAAGTCTGCTGTAGGAAATGTTCTTCACTAATAGTACTTATAGAAAACACACAAAGACACAAAAACAAAACTTTTACATTAAATAGATAAAAGGCATGCTCTACGCCAAACATAAGTACTAAAAGCTGCTCTCCTTACGCTTTTCAGGGTGAGGTGGACCATTAATGTGTTAAAAAATCCAGGGACCTCACCTTTGCTTCACTGAAACCGTCAACTAAAACCCTTCAATTAAAAAAATCATTCATCTTTTGACTGCCTCTCCTGCTGGTCCAGCATAAAAACTTAATCGAAACCACAAAAAATCATCCAAAAAGACACATCTGCGACAACATTTTTACACGGGCTTTTCTTCGGGTTACTACTTATTATATTACATTATGACTAATGCTATACCCAACTTCTGTAGTGCGAGCCAGCTCACAGCTTTTGGCTAAAAAGTTTTGAAAGGCACTGCAAGCCAAGAAGAATTATGTATTATATGCCTAAAAAAGCAACGATGTATGAATGAGGGACTGCAAAATCAATTCAAATTTGGAAGATATGGTTAGGATTTTCACAAGACAGTTCTCTCTTCATCCCAAGCAGCACAACACTTTCATCACACTGAGAAAGTGTCAAGAAAAGAGCTGTATTGAAGTAAATGAAATCTTTAATTAAAAGCTGTGCCTTAAGTAAATACAGAAATCAAATCGTTAAATTATTTCCAGGCCCCTTACAGAGGTAATTGATTAATGGGCCTTAGGAGGTAATATTCATGCTAAACTAATGGAACATCTAAGCTGCAGGACATGCAATAGCAGTTTTCTGGAGAGCATATTGCTTACAGCATCATAAAACAGTAATGAGATATGCCATTAAATAACACAGCAAAATGAAGTCTTAAATTGCCTGGAGGGGCTCTTAAATTGAATACTCTGGGGTCTGGACCAGAGTCAAAATACAAGCACTTTACAGCACATTTACAGCATAAATCTAAATAGACTGTGCTAAACAAATGCAACCTCATCAGACATTGTATTACTCTCTAATGATGTATTTAAGCCTGGAATAACCTGCAGCAAGGAAGTCTGTTTATAGCCTCAGTAAAGATATATAGGAATCAGCAGAATGTAACCAAGGAATAAAGGGTTTTCTGTGACACATTTTACTAGTTCCTATTATCAGTTCTATTCAAATTACGTTTCAAAAATCTTCCAACACATGATCCATTTTTTTTAAAATCCTTAAAGAAGTCTCGTCTCGTCAACCGGAGTTTAGAAAGAACACGGTCCTATATTTTCCACTAAATCTGGAATATTGGCTGTAGCTGCTTAAGTTTAACAAGAGGGCTAAATTATTATTCTTCACTTGTGGAAAATTATGCTGAATCTTTACCCTCACTATATTTTTTCAGTTTTGATTTTCTTTCTAATTTTCGGTGGAGTAAGTCACAAAAAAATAGTACAGTTTCACTTACGGGATTTGTTACTCTCCACTCCAGCTACAGGTGGCTGATATCAATATATTATTGACACAGTGAGACAAGACTGGTTATTATTGTATGCATTACAATGGATTGCAGATAAGGGATATCATTTTCGTAAAAAAAAAAAAAAAAGAGGCTGCAGATAAATGATAAAGTTATCTTGATTATTGTATGGCTGCAGTAACATCATGCAGCACACCTAAGTAGGCACCACAGGACTGGACTGTTTGTATGTACAAAAATGTTAAGTCAGTCAGAGCCCTTCCTGTATTGGTTGAGTCTCCAAGCCATTTCAAATCGAGTCATATCCTAGGATGCAAGTTTGTTTTTTCCTCCCTTAGATTGTTTTGGACAAGTCATCAGGGTCACGCTCCTTCAGTGGCACACATGTGGTGGTGATGGCCTCTGGTGGGCTCAGCAAGCCCACCATGCCTCAATGGATATCTTATTCACTTAATTATGCAGATTTTACATTTTTTGTCACTAGAACTGTATTTAACATGCTGTTTATTCATTCATTCCACAAAAAAATAGAAAGGTGTCTGCACACAAGGATTTATTGGAAACTCTATCTGTTGGCCTTCTTTTTTTTTTAAACCATCAAGCACCTTTAAGTTGTACTCAATACACCCTGATGTCTTGTCTATTGCAGACGACTCTGCAGGGCTCGAACCTAGACAAGCCCTCTGGTGATGTGTAAAACACATCAGTGGCAAAACAGAGTGGTAAAGGTCATATGCTTTTCACTACATGAGAAATAGTGAAGGTAAAAAAATCTTTCAAGCACTGGCCAAACTGGGTGACTGCCAGACTTAATCGAGTCTGGATCCCTGTTGGCCTTAGTTAAGTGCTGCGTGCTGTATTTTCCCAGCTTTGTATTGCACAAATTTAACGGTCAAAACAGTAAGCTTGGTGATCAATAGCACAGTAGCAAAGTTGCAGACACTTCTATCGGCTGGTACCCTACCTTTCCTCTCCTTCCGTTGCCTCCATCTTGGTCTTCCCACTGCCAGTCCACTCCTCTCACCACCCGGCCACCAGTGAAGATCCCTCTGGCTGTGATTTTCTTTGACTTGCGGCGCGATTCCAAAAGTACTCTGTTCATATTAAAAGAAAAATTCAAATAGAAACCATTATTTTCATTTGGGCTAAGCTTGAACCACTAGTGTGACACTGTCACAGCATTCAACAGCAGGTGTTTACAGGGGGTCCATTTACATGGATTCATTTTCTGTTTTTTCAATTACTAGCAAATATGCATTGCAGAGGGGATCCTAGAAGCTCCCCCTGTTAACCAGTGTCCTTAACTGCTCTTCCCTGTGCACCTACTGTTCTGGAGTCATGGAGTAAATTACTTTCAGCAAATGGGACATGGCTACAGATGAAAATCTTACTGTGAGCGTTGGGCCTTAACAGCATCTCATCTGCTGTATCAACCATGCAGTCCTTGAAAATCATAACAGCTGTCTCAGCATTAAACAGCTAATGTTGAATGACAGAAAAAGAAATCAAACCAGAAACATTTGTCAGAGCTCCGAGCACCACATCCTTACTGACCTATCTTTTCAGTTCTTTGAAATCACAAAACACACCACTTCACAATGACAAGAGCATTGAGATGAGGTATCTAAAAAGGTCAAAATTAATTTCGACTTTCCACTGCCTTTAAGAATGCCATTTTATGTAGTTAAATTCAAGGAACACATTGTGTGTCATTGAATATCAGGTGTCATGTTGTAACATTACGAATAACAATAATTTTGGTAATTGCACGGCATTCACACCACTGACAATTCCTTCCCTTTTCATCAATACCCAACAATCATGGCACTGCAAATGAAAAGCCAGTGGTTAAGTCATCAAATGCAATTTTATAGTCCAAGTCTAAATTCCAGGTCAGCTACAAGCCTAACCAATGAAAAGGCAATAGAAAATAAAACATCCAGCTGAGCTCTAACCATCAACCTCAATATGTGCCTCGATGGTAGACAACGGCAGCTGGACAGTGTAGGTCTAACCCATGCAAACAGCTTGAGGCCTCTAACCACTCCCTCTTCAGCAGTTAGTGACAGAATCTAATGTGGTGTAACAAAACACCCCACCACGCTGTCGGAGCAGTGTGAGCTGGGGAGACCTCCAGCACCCATTGTGCATTATGCAATGTCTGTCTCGGGGGAAATGAAGTCGTACTCAGTTGAAAAGGCTACCAGCTGTTGGGCCATGTGTTCATTTACTAAACTATAGTGTTTGGCTGGAAAAAACCTGAAATGGATGAAGCATCATCACAGTAGTGACAGTCTATGCAATAACATGTAAATGCAACTTGTGGAATTTAGTGAGCGTACATACTCACTAACAGCTCCAAATAATGCATTTAAAGTTTTTAAATCAAATCAGTGATTGATTTGTTTTTCCAACAACACATGAGCTACCCTAATCTATATGTAGAGAATCACTGAATGCAAAGCTGCCTCGACCAATTTGACTTGATCTTGTCGGTACATGAATTAATTGGTAACAATGTTTCCGCTTTGCATAAACCACACCTAACACATTGTTTTCACTAGAATCCTAGACCCGAGGGTAGATACACTTACACATACTCTCATATGTTTAACACATACAAATACACAGCACCTCATGTAGGATTAATGATATTGTGCACTGACCATGCCCTAGACTGACGTTTGCCCAAACTGTAAAATCTTCTGTACCAACTTCTAATGTCCTGACTGAAAACTTAAACTTTTCAGTAAACCTACTGTTGTCTTCACAGTAAAACACATTCACACTAAAATGAGCTTATTGTGAGTTACACGCAGTTAAGTGCTGAGTCCATATACTGTAGATGGTATTTTTACACATCGACATGAGCTTCCAGCAGCAAATAAAGAGCAAAAGAGGAATCAACAGGGCTCCCGCTGTGATAATGCCATTTGAGTGACAGAATGACCACAGGCAAATAGTGATAAAAAAAAAAGCAATATTAAGCACAAGGGATTGCTGTAACACTCTGCTGACTGAATGAAGTGAAAACAACAGGCAGTGCATGTCTAGTGTTATTCTTTGTTAATATTATAGGATTAGTAACTTCTGGGACAGTTATTACACACTTGTAAGTCCTTCGTGTTCAACAAGAAGCTCTCTTGCCTAGTAATGTAGTAAAAAAAATGTTTTCATTATATTAGTATTTCTAATATATGCAATTACAATTTTTTCCGCGGAGTCAAAGTAGTAAATTTGAAAGTCAGCTGCAAAAGAGACTTTTTAATCAATGTGCACTTTACGTTTTATGAGCATGCAGGCTTCTGAAGACATAAATAGAAAAACAACAAAAATATGGGAAATCTGCTCAAATAAATTCTATAAATGGGAAGCACTGCATTAATATAATTTTTAAAAAGGTCTGACTGGATCTTAAAATGAGGCTGAGTTGTTGCCTGGCAACTGACGGCCGGGAGCATAGAGATAGATTATGTCTGCCTGTGAGGCAGGGTGCACAAAAGACTTCTCACATGTCACACACACACATAAAGCAACATAAAGCCAAACTTAAGGAGTAAAAGGCAAGACAACCAATCACAGTGAAGTGCGGGGATTAGCTGGCTTCCTTATGTTTATTTTATCATTGATGGGTCTAAGGTGAGGCACAATAATGGTAAATGTTGCTGGGTTAACTAACCTCTCACTGCCTGGGGTGGTGATCCTGTAGAACCGGTGTCTCAGGTGATGCTTGTCTCCATGGTAACAGGTTGTGCAGAGGTCGTAATTGGTGCACTCAGCACATTTCCAGCGAATGCCAATGATGGGCTGTTGACGGCAGGTGTCACACATGGTTCCATCATGCTTGATGCCTGAGGAGGAACATTTAGTTAAGATTAAGAAATTGGGGTTGTATTGCTTAATAGTATATGTACATTGCACATCAGTAAAACCATCTGAATAACAACAACATGTCCAAAAAATAAAATTAAACTTATTCTATATGCAATCTGAACTCTATGTGTTTGACATAGTCTACGATACTATGCTACTTGTCGATATTCTCCATGCCTTTTAGGGAGGCTATATTTATTCTCACAAGATCCTACACCTGTTAACAGTTAGAATAGTTTTGGCTTTAAAGCCTCTTATTATTCTCTTTTCAAGATGTGGTTCATACTTTCGAATAAAAAACAGAACAACAGAAAAGTTAACTGCTCCTCATCCCATGATGCAGCAATATAAAGAACTAAATGAAGCCTTTCAATTAGATAGGTGCGGAAAAGTGTAACTATATTGGCATGTAATGCTATAACAAGTACAGGCAGATAAACCTAAACAATGGTAAAGAGGTCCTTAGATAACATATGTCTATGCATACACAATACATACTTTTATATAATGAGCTAGAAGAATGTTTTTTTTCTCTCAATGTAAAATTTGGAGTCATAAGCTATGCTGAACATGCATGCCGGTATCTTGTATATTTCCCAAAGCTTATTTGCATGTCTTGACAGAGACAGCGAGCCGTCTGTGACATATCTGTTCAGACAGGATGTCTTTAAATACTCATCTTGTTTTTACACAAGCAGTCAAGCAAAAGTTTTCTACAGAATAAAACTTGTGCTGCGTCCGAGATTTACCTGATACACCGATGTTTCTTCAACAACCTAACTATTTTAAATGACTGAACCTTTGCGTTGCTGCTGTGATCTTTAAATCAGAGCAACAGTCGATTTTCGTTGTCTGGGTTTTCACCAAAAGCCCTAAAACTTAGGCCAACTAAGGCCAACAAAGGGATCAATATCTTGCCTGGAGAAGACACAAATTGGGTCTGAAAGTGCTGGTAAACAAAATCAAACTGATGTAAAGTTTACCTGTTGGAGCACTGTCTAATATCCTCACGTCGTAAGCTCCAGAGCAACGGTAGTTCGCAGCCGTCCCATTATCCCAGACAACCACCACCTCCTCTGGACTTTCAAAACTCCTGACGGTGCCAACATGTCCTTCTCCACCATCCTGCTTCCCCCACTTCCAGTCGGGTCCGCGAACCACTCTCGCTCCCACTCCTTCCATCATCGCCCGGTTATTCCTGCCGGTGGTCATTTACGAAGAGGATCTCGCAATGCCACAGAAATGAGTTAAGTTAGTGAGTTGGTTAGCACGACAGCAGTCTTGGCTAGACAGCTATCGGTGCGCTGATGGACAGTTTCCAAACCCAAGTGCAAGCAAGTCCCAACAGGAAAAGAGACAGGAACGATCCACAAAGCTAGCCCGCTAGCTAAGTTAGCTACCTAAGGAGGCTCTTTGGACCCTCTTGGAAAAACTATTCCCACAAGCTAACGTCAACTGCAAGACAGTGTCTCATCAGCGTTTCCTCCGAGAATAAGACACCAATTACCCTAAAAGCCTATTAAGTATCCACATTGCTAGCTTAGCAAGATCTCAGTAGTCAGCAAGCTGGCTCTCTCCTCCACTCCAGACACAAGAATGCCACCTCTTCAACTTAGCAAGCTAGCGAGCCGAGTTGCTAGCTATCGCAATGCTAGCGAGATAAGCCTCTCCTGGCTAGCAAGTCCTTATCGCCGAGGTAAATGTGGTCCTTCTCGGTGGCGGCGTGTCCTGTTTGTTGTTTTCTGTGGGGCTGAAAATTCATCCGAGGTGCTCCCTTTGTCAGCCAGAGACTGGTTCCCTGGAGTCAACTCAGAATAAACGCGTCGCCATTATTGTCAATCATCGTTCAGACCTCAGACGAGCAACAACTAGCTCCGGAGATAAACGACAAAGCACGAAGACTCGAGGCTCGGGAAAACAAGCACGAGTCCGGCCCACGACGCGCGTGCGCACCTGCAGCGTTCAAGACTATTTGTTCAAAGTGTGAAAGAAAAAAACACAATCTATTGTATTCTGAGCCTTTTAATGATGTTATGATATGTTTATTATTTTTTTAACTGGGCATTTTACCAATCAGAACAACAATTTAAACTCACTTCTTATAAATATCATCATTTGCACAGACATTGTACACACTTTAGTTGATTTAACATCACTAAACAATCAATGTCTGAGTCACAACATGTAGAATTTTAAATTTTGAGGAATAAAATAACCTTTTTTTCAATTTACTGCATAGAAAATGTATATATATTTTAGCTGTAAGGACATACAGTATATAAATCATCCTCACACTAGATATCTACAATATAGACTTTATAGTGTGTATTGCACATTGGATCTATAGTGGTATCATTACAGCTGACTGAGCTGATCGCAGCTGATGGCAGATGACATTAATTCAAATACTCATGAGATCCAACCCACAGAGAAGAAACAGCAGCAGCTTGAATGTGTCAAACGCCACCAGCTGGTTTAAGTAAATGTTATTTAACAAAAAAATCTAATTTTAAGCACTGTAATGAATTATGCTGAATAAAGTTATTAATTGACACATGGAATGGTTCTTTTATGTAAACACAATCAACAGCTTGCTATGTAGAAGTCTATAATTCTTCCAGTGGCACATGCACACGCCATTTAAATATACAGATAGTATACAGCATCATTACTGAATGAAGACTATTTAATCCATAGACACATATTACAATGATGTTACACTGATGCATGTTTACTTTAGCACAAGATAAGGTAAAGCCCACTTCTATTATAGCTACTTGAAGTCAGATGACATACACCTTTTACCCCAGGGCAAAAATGTCCCATGGGCCCCTATTAATACCTTGTTTTTCTCACTCTCTGTGCATTGTATACGTATTAAGCATCTAAGCACCATATAAACTTAAAATACCTGGAGCCCTCTCTACAAGATGGTGCCTCAAGATTAAGTAATTCTGCAGGTGTTTCCTTAAGGCCCTTATCATCATTACTGGTGCATACAGTGTTAACAAACACATTTTCAGTTAATTAAATTACCACAAACTAATTGCCACAATGTGAACCTGGAGCCTTTTGGGGGCCCCCTGTGGGTCTTTAGCCCCTGGGACAGTTCACTGCTTTTTCTGGTTGGTAATCCAGTCCCACTGTGGACTATCACAGCAGAAAACCCCATGATCATTATTCAGAAGCTGATGGTGCTCAATGATGCCCGTGCTGTCTTTGCAACCACACCTATTTACCTGAGTTATACCCCACTAAAGGCACTGAAGGGAGGACTTCCAGACGGACGGCCATGCCGCAAACCCCCCCCCCCGGCTCCACTATGGTGCACATCGCCTCTGTCGACTGCAGGGGGCGACTGGCTGACAGGACTGTGAGGAGCAGCTCCATTGATAGCCGGTCAAAGAGCGCCACCGCTCGCTGATACACATTGCAGTTATATATATATATATATATATATATATATATATATATATATATATATCCACCACATCAGCTCCCCTTGACTGTCTCCTTCACAGTGGGCTTGCAGGCAGACGCACAGCTGACTTTCAACTGAGGTGGCCGCTGTCCTTACACTACGGGTGAAAACAGGGACCTTGCAATGATCTCGCTGGACTTAAACTTCAACATTTTGACAAGAGACCTGTCACATTATTTGGAAAATCAAGTGAAAGTTGGGCTCTTCGGTTCGGGAGTAGGACTGTCTCTGGTGCTGGGCTTTAGCGCAGCGTACACCTGCTACTATCTGATTTCAGTAGCGAAGGTAAGACCCGTATCATTTAAAACCACACCGGCTGTTTTAAAAGGGACTAGTTTTATTTTATGTTATTGCCTGATAGAGCTTGTATGTTCTGTTAAATCCGACGTGTTTTTTTTTCCTTCATGGAGGCGCATCCTCGCTGCCATGCGTATAAAGATACTCACCCGGTGCATTTGCTGATGGAGGTTTTCGATTAGGCTGCATCTGTCCACCGGTGGGCTAACCATACACTGCCCTGCACATGTGTGGGACGGATCTCAGGCAGCAAGACACACACACACACACACACACATATATATATTAATCAGCATATTCACCGGATAATGTTAACATCTAGCTTCATGCATGTGCACTTATGTAACGTTAAATCAACCCATAGCCAGACAGTTACAGTTAAATGTCGGTATCGACTAAGCTAGGCTAACATTGCTGTATGTTAGCTAAAAATGCCGGTATATAGGGTTTATCTAACGCATGCTAAGAGGCTCGAGTAATTGTGTAATTATTAACATATATGAGTTTAACATTAAATATGAATATGAGCTAAAATATGAACTGTTAATGTTTGAATGGAGCTGCAATGAAATGCACTGGAAAAGCTGCAACATTTTCTGCAGTCGGATGACTTCAAACAAAAGAGGCAGCCAGTACACCAAATTATGCAAATGTCTTTAATAAAACTATATTGCTGGATTTACATACCACCATGCCATTACATGTGGAAGGCTGTGCATGCCTCGCGTTTATTATCAGTGAGTCCAAATGTAATAAAAGGTTCATGCAGCAGATGTGTTCATCACATACACATTGCACTTTATGGTCAGCCTTCAGTTGGATGCTGAAATTCTGATCACGTATTATAACTGAATTAGATCTTCTACTTTGTACTTGTAATGTTTTCAGATCTGCATCAAAAGATTTGATCTAAGGTTTAGAGGTAATAATGCAACATAATGCAGTTTAAGACCCTTTTTTTTTTTTTTTTTTTTTTTTTACAGCATATGGTGTACAAAACACGGCTTAGAGCTAGACAATGTTTTATTACAGCTGTGGATCTATTGTCGTATTAAATAATGTCACAGTAATTAATCCCTGAGGTCTCTTTTGACTAAAACCTGGGCCACACTTCATTCATGTGTATTTTACAGAAGCCACAGCTCATCTCGGGGGGTAAGAAGTTCTACCATTTTCTGAGGGAGCAATGTCCTGTAGTGTCAGAGACCTACTACCCCACCTTCTGGTGCTGGGAGAGCCGCATCCAGACTCTGCTAAGACCCTTTGTCACAGCCAAACCTGGGGTTGTCTACAGAAAGTAAGTCCTGTTTTATTTTTCCCAAACTGAGAATGTATTTCTCCTTGCATGCAGACATGCCTCACCTGGTTAAAATGCACATTTGAACTCATAAAACAGTGCAAGAGGTCATATCCTATAGGAGATACATGTGAGGCTAGAAAGTTCACCTTTGACATAGTCACAGTTACACGTGCATTTAATATGACAGGTTCAGGTTTTCTAAATGATTTAAATGCCACTGCTCCATGCTTACAGTTTCCAGTCTTTATTATTCCAGATATATTATTTTCGTTTGTATATCTGGAGTGTTGTAACGAAAATAATTTCCCCCTGGGATTATTAAAGTATTTCTGATTCTGATTCTGATGAAGTTTAAACACCAGCTTTGTCACTGAGAAAATGCCATTGCCTGTTTCTTGATTTCTTTTTGCCAGTTTCACAACTGGAAACAAATCCCAGTCTTGTTCTTAACCAAGACTCAAAAGCTCAGAGGAGAAAGAGATCTTTTGTGCCACAACGCTGGCTCAGCATGCTCCTTGGTAATGTGCATTCTGTTGAAGATTAATTGGCACTGCATTCCTTGCCCCCTATGTACATAAAGGAGATTAAAACAAATTAAGAGAGACTTATTTTTCATTATTACTGTTTATTACTTATGTATTGACGTTGCATTCTCAAGTAATTAGTTTCATGTATCCTGACATGCCATAATTTCCGTAGTGTGTGTATACAGTATATGTATCATTATGATGTGGTTGTACGTTGTTTGTCGGCTAGGTACTTGGGGTTGGAGAAAGAAAAGAATATTCCTGTAGTTGTGCTGTTGCTTAAAGCTTAATATAAATTTAAATAAAAATGGATTAATTCAAAATTAGTTAACACAAGTTTTTAATGTGTTTCATTTAATTTTAGATACTTGATCAAAAGTTGATCATGATTATTGATGTAGTTTGTTGTTTTGAATTCTTCAGTTGAATTATTAGTCTCATCATTCGTGTGTCCCAGTGACAATTACTCTGCCTCTGCTTTTGACGGTCTCCTTAATCAAGGAGACAAATACTCCCATAATGCACAGGGACTGTATTCATCCTCGTCTAACTGTCTCTTATCAATCGTGGCGAGACTGATGGTCACATTCAATGAAGTTATTATTACATTTCCTCCGGGGACAACACGATGTCCACCCTATAATGAAGTTACCCAAGGTTGCCTCAAGGACGGACACCGCGAAAATTGTCCTATTTGTCGTCGACTGTCTGGGTGAAATTCCACTCATCTCATTGTCCGAGTGGAGGATCAGCACCTGGTCCCCTCCCACTTTGTGCGTCGGTCACTTTGGATTGGCTCTCGCTGACTTTAAAGTCTTGCCTCAGGTGTATATTTCATGGCGTCTCTGTAATTTCATGCTGATGTCTTTACCACTGGCCGGCCAAGTTGGCTCACTGGCCACTCTGTGTGTGTGTGTGTGTGTGTGTGTGTGTGTGTGTGTGTGTGTGTGTGTGTGTGTGTGTGTGTGCTGTGTGTGTGTTGTGCAGGTTTTTTAATGCATTAGCACTGGTACTAAATGACCTCATCTGCCAGGCTAAGGTTGTATAGCCCAGAAATTGATTGATCACAGGGCTCAAAATGAACTTTTTTCCTTGTCCCGCAACTGTCCTGAATTCTACTTTCAACTGTTCGAGTCTTAACAACCGCTGTCCCAAATTGAAGTCCTTTTTTTCATCTACGTAATAAAAAAATAATTTTAATAGCTTTGTTTCAGTAACTTGTATCACTTCATTGACTCACTCTGGTCCACCATTGAAGCTCAGCTAGTTGTTGCACGAAAACACACCCT